AACTCAACAGCATCATACCAGAGTTACCAAATAGCCATGACCTCGAACCATAAGCAGAATGGCATCACGAGTTATACCAAATAAGAACACAGCAATAGTTCATAATTGACAATGTTGAAGTTGTCTCTCATCATCATCAACAAAGAACAAGAGTTGGTATYCTATTGGCGCTCGGCGCCCAGACTACAAGATGGCAGATCCTATCTAGCCTACTACTACAATGCCGAAGTTGACGTCAACAGCTTCACCGAAGTACGAGCATATGCGGCCAATGCCGCTCGCCTCAAGCACCAGGTATGACTCCCGCTTCGCTCTCCACCCCGATCCTCACCGCACAGATGCCTCAAGCACCCAAGGACCAACCTGCGCCCAACCCAGCTTACAGCAGGCAGCGTGGCTATGGCTGCCTGCTTCTTCCACACTCGCCCGTGAGTGCGAGGGCGCCAGCCAGCAAATAGCGCAGCAGCGCTGTCGCCGCATGCAGCCAGCACCTCCATCCCCAATAAGGAGGCTGGCCCTTGCATATATCCACGTGGCCTGCCTGCGTCCAGTCCAAGAAGCTTCCAGTAGGCCCCGGTAGCCTGAGGCCCAGTTACGAGGAATACAGGCAGTGGGCCTGAAGTAGTTACTTGTGCCCAACTGTTTTCGGCCTGTGCTTGGCCCGGTACCCGTACCCAGCCCAGGGCCTGCTTTACATTCATTCACATGGGCGGCCCAGGGCCTGAGTTCATTCAACCAACTGATGCTGTGCAACTGCCTGAATTTCCCCATTTGCGGGGGTACCCTGAAAGTGAGGCCCTGAGGGCCTGTCGTGCCTGCCTTCACTTAGGGCGGCCGACCTTGTTGCAAATAAGGCCCGTAGGGCTAAGCGGGCATAGCCTCGCAGATGGAACTGGATGAATGAAGTGAAATACTCCTAAATTACCTGGCGCTGGTCAATTCGATGATAATATCTCAAGGCCATCGCCCTTTTGAAAAAGAAAAAAATATATATAAAGAATTTGCAGCATGTCAAGTAAGTGTTTTGGTCATTGATTGAAGGTCTTTTGGTCATAACAGGCCACCACCCACCTTATTGCAGTTTGCCCTCCTGCATAACGAACACGGAAAATGGCAGCACCAGAAAGGGAAACACAACACACACACACACACACACACACACACACACACACATTAGAATGTCACCAACCTGAGCAGCAAATGCTTACAGCGCGCAAAGTCGCCGCATTCTCATTTTTGTTCACTCTTTTAAATCGACCATTGTTTGTGCAAATGCGATGGGTAAGGAGGCCCAAACTAACTCCATTGGTAGGGGAGGGGAAGAACAAAAAAGCACTGTCTTTTTTTCCTTTTTTCAAGTTTTTTTTACGATGTTTTTTTTTTAACAATTTCAACTGGTCATTATGGGACAAAGAAAAGCACTGCCATCATCACTCCGATCTTAATCTCTTATCCATCTGCTGCTATTTCTGGTGTCTGTCAATACTGGGAACGGCTGGCTGGCGCCAGATAGCAGAAGACACAAATGACGGGCCGCCACCTTCAGCCCCAGAAAAATAAATAAATAAATAAAAATCATTGCAATGCTTGCATAATCATCAGAATACAGAACAGGCGGCCATGATGCATACACAGTCCAGATGCTGATAACCACCATTCAGAGAGAAAACAAAAAAAAAAAAACATTGTCCAGAGTCCAGACGGTGATCACCATTACACACATTCGGAAGCGTTCCCCACAACCATTCATGTCGCCGGAAATAGAAATGCTAACATGCTATGCTCAGACGAGTCCAGACTCCAGATCCCGTCAATACCAAATGTCATCGGACTCATCATTGATCGTAGTTGATTGTTGACGTCAGCCGCAGCAGCAGAAGCAGCAGCAGAAAGGGATGAGCAGCATGCAGGCAGTGCATCGCGAGCTTTAACCAAAAAAAAAAAAAAAAAAAGAGGGAAAACTAGGGCGCAGTCCCGGTTTGAGTTTCAAAATGCATTCTCGTCAACACGCTGAAAATGTTGAATGTATACAAGCTAGCTTTAGGGTCCGGTGGGCGGGCGGAGGGGGGGGGGGGGGGGGGRRAGRMCWAAAAWGSATTTTGAAAMTGTTTCCGWGRSYGCSCCCTAGTTTCCCCCCCCCCCCAAACAAAAGAACGAAAGAAGAAGAAGACGGCATGCGAAATCATTCAGAGGCAGAGAGATGGCTGCCAGATGGCTGTGAAAAACGAGGAGGCAGTGACTTCGGCGGAGGAGGAAAGTTCGACAGCGGGGGCAGCATCATGATTCACAACACAAGAGGAATTCGTGGATTTCAGCAGATACTGTCTGTCATTACCGCACGTGCTTTTCAAGCTGCACCCAACGTGGGGTATGGGGTAAATATATCGTCCCATAACTAAGAAGTAAAAGAGTGCACTTTGCGAAACAAACAGTAAAGAATCAAAAAGAAGACAAAGATAACGGGCACACCGAAAGCATTCATGTTTCTCATTCTTCTTTGTTAACTCCCCCCTCACCGTGCCTCGCACGTACAAGGCCCGCGTCAAACAGAACTGCCTATGGATAAACCGTAGGCAGAGAGGGAGAAGAGAGGACAACAAACGAGGGGCTGTGACAAATGTTTCGTCGGTGTTGTTTCACCGACTGACTCGTCAGCAGGAGGGAGGCTGAACCCTAAAAAGTATGCAGAGTCTCGCCCTAACGGATGATACTGAAAGCGATAATCCGCCTTATTACCCCGGTTGTGGTTACGCATCAGCAACTGCTCAACATTTTTGCATGGAATGCAGGTCATAGCTGTTGCACACACAGTCCACTCCCTTAGCTCTTGCCAAATACTCGAGCAGATGCTGCTTTCACATTATAAACCACATTGTGAGGTCCTTTTCAACTGAAACTGGCCTTAATTGCTTCCAGATACATTCCAGAAAGTTATTAACCTTCTTGCCCTGCACGCGACATATGATCACGATAGCTGCATTTTGCGCAACTTTCAGACCAGATGCAGATACAATGCCAGGGCAATGTGTTCGGGGGAAGAAGGTATTGGGAGAGTTCGCCGGAACTCTGCCCTCACAGCGAAAGATCATTACAATTCATTAAGCATAGCTCCATCATTACTATTCATTACGCATCGCTCGTCACGGTTGCTTTACAGGTGTGCCTGGCATCTTCCCCCAAATAGAACATACCATCATTATATCTATAGCTGTATTTGGGCCAGTTTTCAGTCTCGATAGAAGGGTTTTTTTTTTTTTTTTGCGCCGTGACTGCCTGGGACCTCGCCCGGGGGTCCCTCCCGGCCGGCCGGGGGCTGGGCGTGTGTCTGTAATTAACCCAGAAAAGAGAGTTTTTAAAATCCAAATAAAATTTTACTAATGCAAAATTCAATAAAACTCCAGAATAACTCCAGCATTCACATTTAAAAGTCAAAACACTAATTTCAAGAAACATCCGTTAAAATCGGAATGATAGTATTATGATACAGAAAAGATTTTTTATTTTTATTTTTTCAACAAGAAAGAAACACTTTTAGTACCACAAAAGGTGAGCCCGGGAAACCCTCAACAGACAACCCGGAAAAGCCAGGTACTGGGACCATTACCCAGCTTAGGTGGAGGCATTGGGGGAAGGAACTAGAGACAGAAATGGCCACATCCAGACCGCTGTCCTGTTGATACAGAGAAGATTCGCATGGGCTGTGCCCAAGGATGACAGGCATAACTCGAGAAAACTTAGAAAAAACTTCAAAAAAGACAATAAAAGAAAAAAAGGGCAGGTGGGGGGGGGGGGGGGGGAGGAGAACAGATAAAAGCAGGGCACCGGGGTGAGGAGAAGGGAAATTGAAGATGAAGATTTGCTTAGCGGGAAAGGGAAAAAAAAAAAAAAAAAAAAACTTACCTAAATCCCAGACTTGAAACTTTATATTCTTGTAGCAAACGGTCTCCACATTAAACCCAATTGCTGCCAAAGAAACAACTCAACTCAACTCAGGCACACTGTTCCAGTCACCCTGGAGGGATTTCACTGTGCAAATCATGCAGACCTCACGGCGGGCAGATGATCATTTCTACCAGTCATGAAGTGACCGCACCTCATACATGCAGACCTCACGGCGGGCAGATGATCATTTCTACCAGTCATGAAGTGACCGCACCTCATACAAGCTCACACATCCTTCGCCGAATTGGTTCAGCTCTCTCTCTCTCTCTCTCTCTCTCTCTCTCTCTCTCTCTCTCTCTCTCTCTCTCTCTCTCTCTCTCTCTCT